GGGGGGGGGGAGAGTGGAAACTGGTGACAAAGCAGCAGTCACTCGGCCCAGAACGGAGTGGCCCAGAGCCCCGGTCTGTGTTGGTGCTTAGACAGAATTGTGCAGGGGGCTTGCTCTGTCTCAGTCTCTGCTCTCCAACCACCCTGGGCAGAGGTGGTCATTCCAACAGGAGAGCCACAGGCTCACCTCCGAGGGCCAGCCAGCTGGGTTCAAGTCCCAGCACCTCTACTCATTGGCTCCGTGAACCTGAGGAGAGCGATTCATCTCAGCCTTGGCTTCCTTATCTGTGAAATGGGAAGAATTATAGTCCCACCTCAAGGGTGCTGGGTGGATTACATGGACTGATCCAGGCCGGTGTCTGGCACATAGTAGTTGCCAATTGAACTTTTTAAAAAGTCTGACTTCTGAACTACACCATCCCTGTTGTCACCTTGGTGGTGGTAAGAGGACCAGCACAGACTCAAAACCCAACTAATTCTACCCAACAAATATTTTTTGATTTCCAACTTTTCCAACTAAGTGCTGGAGAAAAATTAATAAAACCCCTTCATCACTTCTTCCTCCAACTAAAGCTGTGCCCACAGTCTTAGCCTCATTTACTGGGCACATCCTCTGTGCCACGGGCCAGCTCAGTGATTCCTCACAGCAGCCCCATGAAACAGGTGACGTGGACATTGCTACCATCGCCCGTTTCTGCACATGAGGGAACGGAGTCAGGTGGATGGGGTGCTGAGGCTGCAGAGAGGAGTGGAGGCCAGTGGCCTGGCTCAGGGCTCACAGGCGGGTCCCTGCTGCCCCTGGGGCTTGTGAGGAGGGATGAGGCCCCCCCGCCTCGGGGAGAGGAGCCTGAGTGCCCAGAGGCACCTGGGCCTGGCAGGAGGGAAGGTGACGCCAGCCAGGAAGTGGAGGGGCAGGAGCAGTCACGTCAGATCTTAGGAGATGTTTGGGGAAGTGAGAGTTTACAGGGGAAGCAAGGGGAATGGCTTTCCCAGAGGCGGGAACAGCCTGAGCTGAGGGGTGGCAAGCTGGCCCTGCAGTGAGGACCCAGAGGCCGCAGGCTAGCCCCAGGGGTGAAGGGAGGGCTCTGTGTGTCCCCCCAGGCGGCCTACCTACAGAGACTGGGGGTGAACACAGCCGTCTTTGAGAGACGCCATGTGATTGGGGGTGCAGCTGTCACTGAGGAGATCATTCCAGGTAAGCCCAGAGGTGGTGTGGGGGCAGGCGGCAGGGGGTGACCGTCGGTGACCACTGGTGACTGTCTCCGTCTGATTTGGTTTCAGGGTTTAAGTTCTCCCGAGCGTCCTACCTCCTCAGTCTGCTGCGGCCGCAGATCTACACTGACCTGGAGTTGAAGGTAGAGCCCCCGCTGTGGCCATGGGGGGGCGGGGGGGTTAGTTCCATCTTCCCACCTGGTGAAGGCTCCCTACAAGGTGATTCCCTGCACCTGAGGTCTCTTCCATCTGAGGGCTTGACTGTCCCACAGGGTCTCCTTGGTACATTCCTACAGTTTTGCCTAGTCCACTCAGTATCTTAAAAAATCGGGAAATTGCACATAAAACCGGATTTATCTTGATGGACGGGCTTTGTCGGCCTGAGGCCCGTGCTCTTCCACGCAGTGCTGTCCGATACCCGCTGTGGGGCACGGTCCCCAGCCCTGCCCTGCCCTGCGCATCGCTCTCTGGCGTCTTGCTGGCCCTCACGAGGAACCTCCTGAAACCGTGGGCCAGCCTCTGAGTTTGCAGAGCTGTCTCAGGACTGGAGCCTGCTTAAACTTTCATCCTGTTACCATTCTTGGCAGCTTGAGCAGGGAGCCGGAGGGACTTTCACCTCTTCTGGCCCCTGGGCGGTTGTGAGGAGATCTGAGACCTCTCAGTCCACCCTGTTGACCTCCCTTAGCTTAACTTTGGTCCACAGGCCGGGCCAGCGTGGCCCCTACCTTTTCAGATTCCTTTCACCCCTCACTGCCTCTTTTATAAACTCTGCTCACCACATCCTGGGGCGCACTTAGCTTCTCCCTGCTGGTGCCTCTGTCACCCAAGGGAAAAGGGTCCTCCCTGCCATCTGCACAGGAAGCTGCTGTGCCCTTTAGCACTGACTTTGCTCTAAATTGAAAGTTTGAAATTAGTAAGACGGGGAGCCACACTGTTCACAGCCCTTCCGCTGCTGGAACTGGTTCATGTAGAGGAGTCCTCCAAACTAAGTAACTACAGAAACACACTAAAGATATTATTCTTTGAGCCCCTGAGAGACAGAGAGAGAGAAGAAAGAGCCTATCACCAGCCAGGACCAGAAGAAATCTCGCCTCGGAAGGGAAGTGGGTCTCTGGTCTCTACAGTTGGAGGCAGTTTGCAAACGCACCAGTTGGTGGCAGACGTGGTGGGGGGGTGTGGGTAGACCCTCCTTGTGAAAATCTAGCTTCTGAAAACTGAGAGTCACAGAATAGAAATTTTCACATGATTATTCACTTTATTAAAAAAAGAAAAAAAAAGATGTGCTCCTGAAAAGTTCAGTGTGCTACTCAAATATTTGTAAATCAAATCATGCTTTAAATGCATCCCAGCAATTTCCATTTAAGGTGACCCTGGAGTAAATGAGTCTGCAAAGTAAATAAAATTTTTGATGTGAATAATTTATCTACCTTGTAAGTATGGATTTTCACCTAATTGTTTTTTTATTGTGTCTTTCCAAATTTTAATTATTTATCTCTGGAGTGGGGGCGGCTGTAGCCCAGAGCTGAGAGTGAGCCAGGGCTTCAGAGTCGTAGAGATGCGGTTGTGAAACACAACCCACCTCCCAATGTGACCTTGGACAAGACATTTAACTTCTCTGAGCCTCTAGTGTTGCATTTGTACAATGAAGGTGACCTAGAGTTGTTGTAAGTTAACCATTGTAAACCCCAGTGCAGTCCCTGGTACAGGGTAGCATGGTGTGTGGCGTGGTGTGCTGTGGTGTGACATGGTGTGGCCTTGTGTGTTGTGGTGCGATGTGGCATGGTATGATGTGATACGATGCTGTGATGTGGCGTGGCGTGGCGTGGCGTGGTATAGTATGGCATGGCTTGGCTTGGCACAGCATGATGTGTCCTGGCGTGGTGTGGCATAGTGTGGTCTGCCATCGAGCGCCTGAGCAAGAAGGCTTTTACACACTTTAATTAAAAATAGGAATCAAGACCTTGGGAACCTGCTTGAAGGAATCTAAATGGTCATAAACACAACCAGAGAAGGGTCAAGGGCAGAGGCCACAGATTCCTTCAAACGCTGCGTCTTCTGTCTGTGCTCTGCAGAAACACGGGCTGAGGCTTCATCTTCGAAACCCCTACTCCTTCACCCCGATGCTGGAGGAAGGCACGGGGAGCAAGGCGCCCAGGTCCCTGCTTCTGGGCACAGACATGGTGGAAAACCAGAAGCAGATTGCCCGGTTCTCGCAGAAGGATGCCCAGGTAGGGAATGCGACTGCGGCTGGCCTCCTCCCGCTCTCTAGCCTGAGGCGGCTCTGGAAAGGAACCGGGCCTAGTGGGAGTTGCCCTAGAGCACGTGCCCAAGGGCCAGGGCGTTCCAGCCTGTCCTAGCCTTTGATCTTGGGCACTGTGAAGAGAAGGGGATGGTCAGTGGTTAGGACCAGTGGACGCTGGAGCCCCTCAGCCCCGTGTGTGTTCAGTATGTGGCCACCATTCAGGTGCCCTCTGCCTGCTGAATTCCAGAAGGGAACCCACTGGCATGTACTTACGCCGTGTGTGCTTCTGTCTCTCCCGCTTTCAGACAGAACTCTAAGTGGCTATCAATACGAAAGCACATGAAGGCCAAAGAGAAGGATCAGGGGCGGATCAGAGACAATTAAAGATAGAGTGAACTGGATCAGGAATTTAGAACAAGAGAGCTCTAATAAATATTCATTCGATCTGGCATCAATCCCCTGGCAGCCCAAGGCAAGAACTTGTCCACAGTGGCGTGCAGGTCTGATGGAAGGATGTACCCCCATCCAACAGAGATGCAGTTTTTCTCTCGGGATTGCATTATAAGGAATTTGTTGGGTAGCTTTGTCTAATGAGTTATTGAATGTAATGGGCCTGGTGTGATTGGTTTTGTAGATATAAAAAGATTCCTTGAATGGCTATGTTTTTGTGCTAAGCCCAGATATAAGCTGAAGGCATAGCATTAACTCACATCTTGGTGCAGACGTTTTTATAAGAACCTAGGTTAATACCATCAATGCGTGCTGCTTTTTATTGTTAATCCAGCATCGGGTAAAACCGAGAGAACCACAGACACACAGTATATCTCTTCAGCCAGTAATTTCCAAACCTGGCTGGCAGTCAAACCACCTAAGGAGCTTTGCTTTTCTTTCAAAGTGACTCTTTTGTGCAGCGGGTTGGGGACCACTGCCTACGCCCTATTCTCCAAATCCTGCCCATGTCAGATGCACCAGAGAGGATTTAGGATGAGGTCGGGCCCCTGGGCCTGCAGAGCAGCGGCTGTGGCCTTGAGTGCTCCCGAGCACAGGAGCAGGAGGCAGGGGCACATACACGTGTGGAAGGTAAGGAGCCTGAATTCTGGCTTTGTCTTTGTACATTGTCCTATGAAAGGCCTGCTGCAGAGAAAGCTGCTTAACTTCATTTTATCAAGACTTCTCAAATGAACTTCAACACAGGACTTTTCTTTATGTAGCAGTCATTAAAATTCCATGGGTAGATCTGTGAGTCCAGATGAACCAAAATTAAAAGTTCTGGGCTGAAAAAGAAGATAAGGCCTCCAGTGACACAGACATCCACCCAGTTCCTACAGTCCATCCAGTGAAGGAGGGTTGGTGTCCAAGTGGATTCTGTCGTGGGAGCTTGTGGGGTGAAGGGATGCAGACTAGTTCCTATTCCGCTATGATGAGAGGACTTGGGAGATTTGCAGACCAGGAGAGAACAGTCAGCATGCTGGAATATAAGCAAAGAGATCTTACTTTTATCAGTAATATATGGACAGACAGGAGAGAAAGAAACTTTTCCGTGGCTTTTGGTTTATCACAGAGACCGCATCCTAGGCACGTGCCAGTTTTCTGTGGTTGATGACTGGTCTTGGCCAGCATTAACCCCTTGTTCCTGCCACCACCTGGTAGCTCTTCCACTGCCCAGGCTCCCTCTGACCTCCCCTGGTGCTGACATCAGCACAGACCTGGAACAGGGAGCAGCTCAGCACAGCCGCTCAGAGACAGCTGGGCACCAGGCCAGAGGAACCACGGAGCTCAGCTGAGGGGCAGCGGACCACAAGGGGGCAGCACTGAGGGCAGAGCATGGGGACAATGTCCCCTTCCTTCTAGGCAACAGGGCCTTGACTTGGGCCTCTGTTCCAGGCTTTTCCCAAGTACGAGGCCTTCATGAATCGCTTGGCGTTAGCCATAGACCCTCTGCTGGACGCAGCCCCCGTGGACATGGAGGTCTTCCAGCAGGGCTCCCTGCTGCAAAGGCTCAGGTCACTCTCCACCCTCGCCCCCCTGCTGCAGGCAGGTAAGTCCCCGGCGCCGGCATCAGGGCAGAATGAGTGACCTGCACAGAGCTGAGCCCACTTCCTCCATGATCAGACAAAAGTCCGAACTCAAGACAGCCTGCCAACTGCCATCCATTAATGGGCTGCCCGGAGCAGGTTAAGCAAGGAGGTCTTAGCCTAGGGTGCCCTAAACCAGAGCCTGATCCAAAGGCTCATGTGCGAGTAGTTTGTTTTGAAGGGTGATCCAGGGAAGGGAGGAGTGAAACTGAAAAGAAAGGAGTTGATACTAGGTGTGCTGCTGTGCTGGCCGCCACGAGGCTGACAAGGTGCTGCGTCCCATGAGGACCCCCTAGAAGCCTAACAAAATTCATGTGAGGACCACTCCCAAGAGAAGAAAAGGGAATCATTTCTCCATCAGATTCTCTTCCATTGATCAAAGGTTGTCCCATGGGGTATTAACTCCCACATAGGGCTATGCACCCATGGGTGTCAAGTGGCTTTTTGTGGATGTTCTGTCATGGGGCCAGAGAAGCCCCAAGGTGGAAATGAAAAGGCACATCTTACAGGCTGGAGGTGAGATGCTGTGGGTTGCACCATGTGAAACTGATCAAAGCCTGCACAAGCTTATCACCAAAGCCAGCTAGAATTAGAAAGAGGGGCCAAGCGAGTTTGAAGAGGTGCCCCATACAAAGAGGATGCTAGATGTGGGCTTAACAGGAAAAACTTCTGCGATCGATTAGTGATGTCTGCCATGGCTCTGAGAAGGGAAGTTTGGCTAAGCATGCTATTCTTTCTACTCCTCCTCTAGGGTATAAAGAGCAGTTTAGCTTCTCTCATAGAAAAATACTGAAACAGTTAGCTATGATCACAAAATTGCTGCATAAAACTGTAAAACTCCATTGGCATGTAAACATAAACACTTATTTCTCATGAATCTGCATGGTTTAGCTGATCCCAGCTGGGCTCAGCTGATGTGGTCTGGTCTCATGCATATGTTTGTGGCTGGGGCAGATCAGCTAGGGCAGCTCTGCTCCAGGTGCGTCCCCTCCTCATGGGAGCTGCAGGCTAGTCTAGGCACTGCCTTCTTACATTAATGGCAGAAGCTCAGAGAGCAAGCCCCATTGTGCAGGCCAGTTTCAAGCGGCTGTTTGCATCACAACTTAATACATTCTCTTGACCAAGTAATCCATGTGGATAAGTCCAGGATCAAGGAGCAGGGCAGGAGAACTCAGCTGTGGTGGGAGGCACTGCAGAGTTACATGGGAAAGTGTGTGGATATGGGAGGTGTGAAGGATCAGAGCCAGCAGAATCTATCACACACACCAAGAGGAGACATTATCTCTCAGATTACCAGCCCAGGGTGTCATGCAATAAAGATGCAATAAACGGTCATGCACTGAACATTTATTGAGCAACTACTATGGACCAGACACTAAGCTGGGTACTGGAGCTACAGTAACAAAGATCATGATCCCTGCCCTTGTGGCCTTATGGCCCTATCACTCTGAGATACTCTGAATCAGCATCAGAGGAGTGGACCAGCCAGGCAGGCTGCCTCCCAGGCTCAGGCCTTACAGAGTTCAATGTAAGGGAATGAGGTACAAATTAAAACTTTACCCCCAAATACTTTCAGCAGCTGAAATGTATTGAGTGCCTGTGAACTTGCCCACGTTTGACATATCTCATTTAATCGCACAGTAGGCCTTGGGGTCATGATATATTGCTCCCATTTTGCAGACAAAGAAACAAGTGCAGAGATATTGCAGATCAGAGCTTCCTTCTTGCTGTTTTATGGGTCTTCTCTTTCAGGCCGCATCCTGGGAGCCAAGCTGCCCCAGTATTACCAGGTCCTCACAGCTCCAATTACCAAGGTGAGGGGGTCCCAGCCTCAGGATGGGCCTCACAGTGAGAGTTGCTCTCCTCCCAAGGCCCCTAAGCTCTTCTCCCTGCTGTTTGCTGTCCCAGGTGCTGGATCAGTGGTTTGAGTCCGAGCCTCTAAAAGCCACTCTAGCAACGGATGCTCTGATTGGAGCCATGACAAGTCCCCACACTCCGGGGAGTGGGTGAGTGCAGAAGGCGAGGTGGGGCAGTGGGAGTGGAGTGAATTCTCCCCAGGGAGCAGTAACAACAGTCATTTACTGAGTTCACCCCGTGAGCCAGGCACGAAGCCATGGACTTCATTCACGATTCCTCTAACTCTCGTGCTAACATCTAAGAGCCGTGGTTCAGAGAAGGAAAGCATCTTGCCTAAAGCCACACAGTTACTAGGTGGAAGATGTGATTTGCAGCCCAAGTTGCCTGACCCCCCCCCCATCTTCCCTCAGCCACTGTGCTCTATTCATAAGAAAAGCCTCTCACCCACCACCTGCTGTGATATCTCGCAAGGAAGTGCCTTCTGCCTACTCTTTCTCCTCTTATCTCCCTCCCTCACTTCTCTTCCTATCTCTTCCCCTCCCAGGAAGCTGTTGCCCCTCCCTCTCCCACCATCCTTCCCCTGGGTCCCAGGACATGCGCACACACAGACACTTTTGTAAGGGTGGGAAGCTCCTTCCCCTTTGTGAGTGGAGTGTGCTGACAGCCTGCTCCGAGAGGGGGCAGTCAGACACAGTGGAGTCAGTGTGGTAGGACCTGGTGAGCCCCTGCAGGAGCAGGGAGGTGTGTGTATGTGTGTGTGTGTGTGCTCGCACGCGTGTGCACACCCACACGTGCACGCGGGGATAGAGGATGCTGCCAGGTGTTGGGCCATGTCCAATGCACCAAAAGATGCAGCTAAAAGCTGTCAATGTGGCTTTTCTCTCAAGGGATGAGAGCGCCCCTTGGAAGTGGTTTTCAGCACACATCAAGCCAGCTCCAAATCCCCCAGGGCCATGGAAAAGCGGGGCTGGCAGCAGTTGCCACGCCTTGGCCAAGCTCTGTGATCAGTCAGTTTGCATCGTCCAGCTGGGGCCTCCTATCCTCCTCTCTGTGGGTCTCCGGGAGGCTAAGCTACGGCCCAGGTTGTAAAATGTGCCTTTAAGTAATTTGTTTCTTCATTAATTCTTTCAATAAATATTGATGGAGCACTTGGCTGTGCGAGGTGCTGGAGCGACAATAGTAAGTGGAGCTGAAATCCTGTGGGCGAGGTAGACGCAGAGCAAGTAATGAGGGGCGTGCGGGAGTGCCCAGACGGAGAAAGGCGGCCTCCTGGCCGAGAAGCCTCCGCTCTAAGGCTCTAAGGACAGCAGGAATCAGTGGAGCAGAGGATGAGGGAGGAAGGGGGCCCCAGGCTGGCAGGGCAGCCCTGCAAACATTGGGAGCTGGGAAACCGTGTGGTCTACTGAAGGCACTGAAAGAGGTTCAGTTTGGGAAGAGTGTGGGGCGAAGGGGGAGCATGGTGAGAGATGAGGCTGACCAGCAGGCAGGAGCCCTGGGGCCATTTCCAGAGTCTGGCCATGACCCCAAGAGCAACAGTGAGCCAGGCAAGCTTGACAAGAGAGAAGGGACAGGGGCATAGCTGGGCTTAGAGACTGGGCTCCAGGTTCTGCGGAGAAAAGTCTGCAGGGAAGAGCAGGGGACAGTGGTCCAATTAGGAAGACCTCGCTGCGGCCCTTTAGGGAGAGAAGAGCCGCCTGGGCGGGAAGAAGCGACGGGGAGCGGGCGTGGGAAAGTTCTTCAGGACTCTCGGAGTTGACAGCATGTGACTGGATGTAGGCCACGAGAGACTAGTAAGGGGGCAAGAGCTGACACCCAGGTTTATTTTGGGAACTGAAGGTGCCATTCACTAGGATGGGGAAGACTGAAGGAGAAATAGGTTGGGGGGTGGGTTTCAGATGCCTGCCAAGAACCCATTCAAATGGGGTATCAGTGGGTAGCTGGACAAAGGGGCTGGAGCTCGGGAGAGAGCTGGAGTGGTGGGTACCAAGCCACCTCGTTGCTGGTACCAAAGCTGCATGCAGACACATTTGCACGGGGAGAGCATGTAGGATGGAGAAGCAAAGGACTCTCACAAGGGCCTAGAGCTCATTGAAAGGCTGGTGGGATGGGGCTGGATGGGGAAGGGAGAGGCTGCACGTACAAGACAGGATGGAATATTTGCACCTTGGACTCTGGGGAGATTAAATCCCACCTCTGGTGACCGATTCTGATGATCTGCCCTCAGGTATGTGCTGCTGCATCACGTGATGGGAGGCCTGGAGGGGATGCAGGGGGCCTGGGGCTACGTCCAGGGTGGCATGGGTGCCCTGTCTGATGCCATAGCAAGTTCAGCCACGGCACATGGAGCGAGTATCTTCACTGAAAAGGTGACTGGCCCCTCTCCCCCCTACTCTGATTATTGGCTGGGATCCTAGGATAGAACAGAATCTCAGATTTGGAAGTTCTCTTGTTTTTCCGATGATCAAGGTGGGGCTTGGAGTCAAGGGGCTCAGGTTATACAGCCTGTTAGTAGCTGAGCAGTTGTCAACCAGGTCCCAGCTCTTCTGCCACCTCCTTTGAATTCACCACCACTAGGCCACACTGGGGCCGAGCCTTCCAGCTGGAGGGGGTGGGCTGTGGCTTCACCGAGGAGCTCCGCAGGGTGGATTCAGGATCAGGGAGCTGTGAATGTCTAGGAGAAGCAGACACAGTGGAAATCCTGCAAGGTCTAACCTCGTTTTCCTTCCCGGGGGTTTCTGGGGCCGCCTCCTGTGGGGTCTAGACAGTGGCTAAGGTGCAGGTGAGCAGCAGAGGACGCGTCCAAGGAGTCGTGCTGCAAGATGGCTCCGAGGTGAGGAGCAAGGTGGTGCTGTCCAACGCGTCGCCGCAGATCACCTTCCTGAAGCTGACGCCACAGGTGAGGCCTGGGGGTGGAGGTTAAGATCTCAGCCAAGACAGAGGCTGAGAACTGGGGTGACCGAGGGAGCCAGGGCTACGTCGGGCTGGGAGATGCGAGTGCCAAGCCTGGCCACGTTTGGGGAAGCCAGACCTTCTCTTTCTTACCTAGCAGACAGGTAGCAAACGGGAGAAGCCGCACAGGTGAGTAGGAAGGCAAGGGAGGTGAGGTGTCCCAGGCCATGCAGGTGACAAAGGACAGAGCCGGGGCTGGAACCCAGCCCTGACTTTCAATCCAGAGTTATTTTGGCAACTTTCCTGTTATCCCGATTTCTCCCTTCTGTCCAACCCTAGTCCCACTGTCTGTGTTGATATCTATTCCCGTATGAATGCCACATCGCAAACAGCCACGGGACTCCTGGGCACATCAAGAAATACTGATTCAGCACAGAGAGCTGGAGAAGTCCGTTGATCTGGCTGAGTTCAGCTGATTTGGGCTCCCTCGGACATTGGTGTCAGCTGAGTCAGCTCGCGGGCCCTGCCGACCCTGGCTGCGCTCGCTCACAGGCCGGGGGTCAGCGGGCTGTGGCTAGTGCGGGACGGTGTCTGCCCGAGTGGCCGGGGCGATCGGCTCTGGCCCACATGTCTTTCATCCCCTAGCACATCCTCAGCATCTGGCAGAGGCAAAAGCAATTAAACTCAGCCGTGCACCTGCTTTTCGGGCTTCTGTTAGCATCCTATTTACTAGCATTGGTCTTGTCTCATGGCCAACCTCAGAGTCAGAATGGGAGCACATTACAAAGGGGCATACAGGGAGGGGTGAAGATTTGGAGCAATTTTTGCAACTGACCACACCTCCCTGTCCCTAAAATGGATGATAATATGTGTATGAGCTGGAGCACCTGACCATCCTTAGGACTAATCTTGGGACAAGCACCACTTTTTCTAAGTGATTCTGCTAATAAAATCCAGCAAGCATCAATTCTAAAGCATCTTAAGGCCCTCCTGAGATCATCACACTTCCAAGCGCTTACAGACCAGAGGAGAAGGGAGGCCTGCAGACCACTGGCCATATCTACAGCAGGAGTCAGTGTGGGCCATCACACTGCAAGTCAGGACTCTGCAGATCACAGAGGAAGAAGTGGTTAGCGCTGAGCAGGTGGGAGAGGGCTTCCTGGAGGAGGTGGTTTGGCTGGGCTCTGGAGGAGGGAGAGATTTCCGGAAGCAGAGGTCAAGAGACCAGTCTGAGCAAAGGAAGAAGGCAGCCACTTTGGGCCCAGGCCTTTTATAGAAACTTCTGCTTCCAGGAGTGGCTTCCTGAAGAGTTCGTGGAGAGAATCTCTCATCTGGACACCCAGTCACCTGTCACCAAGATCAATGGTAAGAGACAAATCCCACCACAGAGCTGTCTCTTTGACACGGTCTAAGTGAGCAAGGTCCAGGGAGAACTGACCTACATCAGCATTTCTGTCCCCAACCTCCAGCCGGCCCCCCAATTTGAAGGTGAAACACTTTTTCACACTTTCTCTTCCCAGCAAGGTGATGGGTAGAGGAGGTGGATCACGGGGGGATGGAGAGGCTGAGGACCCCAGCCTTTGGGCCTTGACTCCCTTGCGTTGGTTTCTCAGTGGCTGTTGACAGGCTGCCTGACTTCCTGGCGGCCCCCAATGCTCCCAGCGGCCAGCCGCTGCCCCATCACCAGTGCTCCACCCACCTGAACTGTGAAGACACCCGCCTGCTCCACGAGGCCTTTGAGGACGCCATGGGTGGCCGGCCTTCCCGCAGGTGGGTGGTCCTGGGCTTTGCATCCCCAGGAGCAGGCGGGGATGTTCAGGAGCAAGCATCTTTCAGTGCTGTCAACTGTCCACCAAAACGTACTGAAAACCTATTCTCTGCCAGGCTCTGATAGGCAAAGGTTGGGGGGATCGGGGACCGGGTAGGGGCATGAAACAGACACTAAGTTTATCATAAGACAGGCACACAGACATTAATAGCATGAGGATGTGTGCCCTGAGAGAAGGGTAGAGGGCACAGTCCACTTATCCATTCATAAATATTTTTGGGCCCCTACTCTGTGCCAGGCTTAGTTCAGGGGCCTGGGAGCGAAGCAGCAAACAGAGTCAACAAGGCCTCTGCCCTCCGATCACTGACACTTCATGGTGGGAGATAAGATAGTCAACAAACATACTGATGATATGGAGAAAAATGGGTCAGGGGAGAGGAGAGGTTACTAGTCTTTATTTGGAGGTCAGAAAAGGCTTCACTACTAACATGACATTTGAGCAGAGACCTGAAGGAAGCAAGAATACAGGTCTTGTGTGTATCTGAGGAAGAACATCCAGACAGAGGGAAGGGCAGGTGCAAAGGCCGTGGGGCAGGAGGGTGCTGCTGTGTTGGAGGCGCAGAGATGAGCCCCGAGTGGCTGGAGAAAGAGAACCTGGGAGTGAAGGGTAGCAGGTGGGGTCTGAGCTGCAGCTGCTGCATCCTGCTGGGCTGTGTCGGCCACTCCTGGATTTTACTCCAGGGAAGTTTGTGCAGAGCCTGACTTACATTTTAGAAAGACCACTGTGGCCACTGTGTGGATTAAAAGGGCATCTGTGGCAATCGGTTACTATTAGAGGATCCAAGGGAGAGGGGTTGGTGCCTTGGTCCAGGGTAGGGGCAGTGGAAGTGATGAGAAGTGGCCACATGCTGGGTATTTGAAGGTAAAGTTGCCTGGATTTGCTGTTGGTCAGAGAGTGGGGTGTGAGTGAGAAAGAGAAGCCACCAGGAGATGGTGTTTCTTTTGTTAAAAGGGGGAGGTGGTCTGTGCAGGGAGGAACATGTCCTAGGGGATCCCAGGCATTTTGTTTGGACAACTTGCTTTAGAGATGCTGAGTGGACATCCAAGTTCAGAGGAAACATTGCAAGCGAGGGATGCAGGGAGAAGGCATTTCACTTGGCCTTAAGGATTGTCAATTTGGAGGCCAAAGGAAGAATGCGCCTCAGGTAGAGCAAGTGTTGTAAATAAGGGGGGGTCGGGAAGTGGTTCCGTTCTGCTAGGTGCCAGGCAGCCCCGGCAGCTCTGTTTCACGAGGCCTGCTCAGGAGAGGAGGTCAGGCGGGGGTAGGAGTGGCTGAAGCCTGGCTGCCCGAGCACCTGCTGTCTTAGCCTGGCCCCTTCACTCATTCGTGTTGTCTCTCTGTACTCTGGGGACATTTGAGACCCTGGTGGTTCTACAGGTGGTGTGGCGGAGGAAGGCAGGGACAGGCCACACATTCAGGGCCAGGGGAGCTCCTCAGGAGGAGTCTGGACTCTCCTAGTGGCCACTGCACCATGCAGGTGAACAACCACTGTAGTCTAACAGAGATAATCGGCCTGGCCTTGGCATCATCTCCTCCCATGCGTTCATTTTGTCCCCTGTCATCTCAGAGCGCCCCCCAGCCCCTTCCCTCGGGACAACTGCTTCTTCAGGTCTGACCTCCCTCCTGTCACAGGCCCATGATTGAGCTCTGCATCCCTTCCTCTCTGGACCCCACCCTGGCTCCTCCTGGCTGCCACGTGGTCTCCCTCTTCACTCAGTACACTCCCTATACCCTGGCAGGAGGCAAAGTCTGGGACGAGCAGGAGAGAAATGCTTATGCAGACAAAGGTAAGGAGGGCTAGACTGTCCCGTCTGCAGAGTGACTGCTGGCTATATGGTCTGAATTCTGACTACCCCATTCAGGATGACAAGGGGAGAGAACCTAAGTCAACATAATGAATGCCTGCTAGGGTCAGACACTGGGCTAAGAAAGTCAAAAGGCACAGTTCCTGCCCCGGAGTTGTTCACAGTCCAGTGGGTTGAGTAATAAATGAATCTTACAGTACAAGGTACTGTGTGAACCAAAGGAGAAAGTTGTGAGCCAGAGAGACAAGGAGAGCTTTCCAAAGGAGGGGACATTTGAACTGGGCTTTAAAGGATGAATAGGAGTTAGCCAGGTGAGAAAGGGCATTCCAAGCAAAAGAAACAGCTTGAGCAAAGCAATGAGGTAAAGAAAGCTTTGCATAGTCAAGGAGAAACAAATAACTTTGTGTTCAGGGTTGGGGTTAGGAGATGGGAAAGAGTGGGGGCTGGATTAGCCTAAGGTTCATAGGACTTTGTATTGAATTATTTATTTACCTGTGGACTGTTTTGTTTGTTTTGCTTATTGAGATGTAATTTGCATATGCTCAAATAAACCCATTTTAAGCGTATAGTTTAACGCATTATAGTAAACTTGCTGAGTTGTGAACCATAATGCTTTCTCCTGACATTGTTCCGTCTCCCTGCTGTCTGCACCAGTGTTCGACTGCATCGAGGCCTACGCCCCTGGCTTCAAGGGCTCCGTGGTGGGCAGAGACATCCTCACACCACCTGATTTGGAGAGAACCTTTGGGCTTCCTGGAGGGGTAAGAATAAGTCTGGGGGTCCCTCATCACATTCTTCTCTCTGCACCCCCACTCCCTGGGTGCCCTCCACACANACCTGATTTGGAGAGAACCTTTGGGCTTCCTGGAGGGGTAAGAATAAGTCACATTCTTCTCTCTGCACCCCCACTCCCTGGGTGCCCTCCACACGCAGCTTTCATCAGAAAGGAGGACAGTGGCAGAGACCAGAGCTGTGAGGGGACAGAGGAGGGGTCAGACCTAGGGGGTGAGGGGAGAAGTGGAGACAAGAGAGACAAGAGAGATAGCACCCACTGAGAAGGTCACCAGCATTGTGGCCCCTCCACCTGGACATCATGTCAGCCTATTCCATTTGGGTTTCTTCAGAGGGAGCTCCCTTCCTTAAGGCAGCAGGTCCTCAGACTTCTAATCAATGTGCCAAAATTTCAGAGAAGGGGGCCAGGAAACCAAGTAGGAGGCCGATTCCTGCACAGCAGCCATCAGCCCCATGTGGCTGTTGATGGCTTCAGTGTGTCTGGGCCCAGATGAGATGTGTGCAAGTGTAAAAGCACCAGATTGCTAAGACTTAGTGTGAAAAAAGCATAAACTGTCTCATTAATAATTGTCATATTGATCCCATTATTGAAATCCCATATTGAAATGATCTACTGGGTTAAATGAAATATGCATTGACATCAATTTCACCAGCCCCTTTTTAAAATCTTAATGTGGCTACTAGAAAACAAAAGTCACATATGTGGCTCATGTTGTGTTTTGTTGGACCACACTGGTCCAGCTCTAGAATAAAGGAGGCCAGGCAGTGGGAAGGGGGGGCAATGGGTGGGTGTAGAAGGCATGGAGCGAGCAGAAGTGAGAAGTCTTGGTAACAGTGCGCATGTAGGTGTCAGGGTGGAGGTGACATGAAGGATCCAGCCTGGAGGCTGAGGAGAGGAAGGTGGTGTCATCCACTGAGGCAGGGAAGATGGGAGAGAGCAGTTTGAGACATGTTGAGAGGGCTGGCTGGGAGGACATCTGAGGGGTGACCTCCTGCAGATGTTGGTCTTTTTGTCCAGACCTGCCCCACGAGCCTGACCTTCTGCTTGTCCACACTGCCTCCCTGCGAGGCCCAGGCCACTGGAGCAAAACCGAGCTCAGGTCCCAATGCCCTTTGTCTGCCACTTACTGTGATTCTGCTGGAGCTTGGAAGCCTAGGGCCCAGCCTCAGATGGGTGTCATGGTCAAAGAAACATGTGCCAGCAGCCAAAATAAGTCAAATTCCTCTCTTTTCAAACCAAGTGAGTGGGATTCACAGTCCATAGCAAAACATTTAGAATCTCCCTTTAAAATTTTGGTTTCCTCACACTCTGAAGATACTCCTCACCCTTCTTTCTTCCTGAAAAAATGCCTCTGGAAGGCTCCCCCCCAGCCCTAGGATATGCACCTATTCCCTCTCTTCCCCTCCCCTTTCTGCATTGTAAGAGAGAACATCCAGGAAGGAGAACCTTCTCAGAGAACAGGGGAGGGGGAAGAAACCCTCAAGGACAGTGAAACACTCCTATGTTAACGACTGTGGCCCTGCCTCCCACAGAACATATTCCACTGCGCCATGACCCTAGACCAGCTCTACTTCGCCCGCCCGGTGCCCCTGCACTCCAGCTACCGCTGCCCCCTCCCAGGCCTGTATCTCTGCGGAAGTGGGGCGCATCCCGGTGAGTGACCCTCGGTCCCAGCACCCTGTGTTGGTGGTGAGGGCTGGCTGGACATCAGAGGCCTGCAGACGGGGAGAGGGAGGCAGGGCGAGAGGGAGGGGGCACAGGACTCCCACAAGAATAAACCATCCCCCATATGCAGAATTCGCAGAGCTCAGGGAACATGGGGGCCTCTGCCAGGCTGGCCATAGCCGCAGGTTAGGAGCTCACACCACCTCTCAGTTTAAAAATTCTTCCCTGCACCTGTCCCCAGCTTAACTGAGCTCCCTGAGGTCGCCGTTCATGTTGATACTTTCTCTGAGCTGCATGGGCTTCGGGCCCCCAGAAAGGCCCTATATTCCCACCTGTTCCCCCCAAGTCCTCAGTGTCGCGTCTGTGTCACTACACTGAGAGTCTGGCCATTCAGTACATCGGCTCTCAGGCTGAGAGGAGACGCTTGCTGGGCCCATGCGCCCGGCCCCTCCCCAGGGCTCTGAGGCAGGAAACCTGCAGGGGAGCCCAGAATCTGTCTTCATCGTTGTCAGGGTGGTTCTGATGCCCTTGGCCGAGCACCTCCCTCAAGCAGCCCTGCTCTGCTTGGCCGCTGGCTCCTCTGCAAGCCTGGGCCCTGCGCGCTCCCTGGCTCCCTGTGGGGGTGGTGGGGGGCGTGCACCTTTGGTTCATGGAGGTTCCCTTCCAGGCGGAGGTGTCATGGGAGCCGCTGGTCACAACGCAGCCCAAGTGGTCTTCCGGGACCTCAAAAGCATGTGACCCTGACCCAGGAAGAGGAATCCACCCTTGGGCTGTGAGTCCCCATTGGGTCATCTTTCCAGGCTGTGGCTGAGGCAGACCAGTCCTCAAGGCTTAAGCGACTATTTTAGAAAAAACATTTAAGTTACATTTGGTACTGGTTAACCTTGTGCCTGTGACTTCATGATGAACTGCTTTGGTTTTATTAAAAATAATGTTTTGTACAGACAGCTTGCACTTTCCCGTACGTTAGTAGAATTGGTCAAATGTAATTATGTAATTGCGTGTCTCTGTGCTAACGGGGGTACTTGCCTGGAATACTCAGGATTCTTACCACATCAGCCCATTTGACCAGCAAGGTCCCCCTCTCACTGCTGGGCCCTCACCCCCAGCGGATCAGAGGGCTGTCGGGGAGGCCCAGTCCACATCCCAGGCAAACTGTAGGCCAAGCCACCCACGGGCCGCAGGCCTGCGCAGTGCTCGGCACCTCACACCATCAAAACTGCCCACCAGGCAAACCGCAGTCGCGGGTGAGTGCCAGGTGGGTGCCACTGAGGGCATCTGGGAGCCCACATTCCTGATTCTAGAGCATTCCACCCCTTACTTCCCATGAGCGAGACATGCCTATGGCATCACTAAACTCTCCCCACATAAGCTTATGTTATTGTAGAGAGGTTGTCATTCCTGGTGAGAAAGATTCATACAAATGTCCCTGTGCTAATACAGCTCTCCCAGCAGCTCTCCAGTCCCAGCAGCCATGGCCGCAGGCCCTGGGGGCCCCATTGGCAGAGGAGGCGAGGGTTCCCTGGGGCCTCTCCTCCCTCCTTTCCCTGGCAAACTTATACAGATTAAGATATTCCCACCTCATTACTTAACCTCGCTAAATTCAGCTTTCTGATTTGTAAAGGGGCTGTTTTACAGATCAAATAAGACAGTAGGTCATGTTTTCTTCCAGTATCTGGCCCATGGAGGTGGTCTTGCTGCTAATACTGTTGGTGAAGATGTTACTGTCATTTTTGTATTC